AGTAAGGTTTCTTCGTTCTATTGAGGATGGGATGGATCACCATTAAAACTATTTCTCGCAGGATTGCCTATTTTATTTGGGAGATTGGGCAAGGCTGAAAGTATCGGAGCAACTAATAGTTATTGCTGGAGGATTACCTTGAGGGCTTCAGCAATTTCTTTCACCTGTTGGTCAACGCGACTATTTCACCCCATATTCGTTCGACAGAGACTTGGTTATCAGGCTGGTTCTCATATGGGTTTTCGGTTATGGCATTTTTGCTAATTTGGGGATTTTTGCTCGGGCCTGGTGGAGAGATCATAGCTAAAGTCTTAAAGAGGGTTGAGAATCAATATTTCAAAAAGACTGGGAAGTAGTCGTTTCCCATAGACGACGCCAACTGATGGAGCAATCAGTAACTAAGGTCGAAAATATGGGTTCTGAGTTCGAAGTTCAAACCTTAAGCAACGCTGATGAATTGACTCTGGTCCTATCAAAGAGATTAAGAGTCGCGGAGCAGTGTGGTCCGAGTCGAACCACCTCCGATACCAAAGTCAGTATAGCATAATAAATTATTTATCAAGTCTAGATATAAAGAGAGAGAGAGAGAAAAAAAGTTATCTCTCTAGCAACTTTTTCTTACCTTAACCTTTCATTTATGAGGGATTTTATGGTGTGTGTTGAGTGTGTTTTTAGCTATGATTGGTAATGATTAAAATTAATCATTCATGGTTGAGGTTGTATAAAGTTGTTGTCATGCAAGAGCCTCCATTTTTTGCTTGTCTCAACATGGTGATAGCCCACGTGTAGTCTCAAACATGCTATGCCCAGTGTCAAATTCTTCGCAAGTGGCATCATACAATTAGTGGCTAACATAAGTCAATTATTTTGCCAGTTGAGATTACCACCAGTCGAGTGCAACCCCAGACCCGAGTAGTCAATGTTGGACAGGGATATGAGTCTTTGATGATGCAATATAGTGTAGTATATAATTGTCTATAATGTTTGACAGGGATATGAGTCTTTGATTATGCAATATAGTGTAGTATATAATTGTCTATAAACAAATGCGTTACATCGAGTCACACTTTAAATATTAAAAAATTCGAATAAAAGTATGAATCTAGCTGATGTAGACTACTCAGGAGAATCTATATTTAATGTTCGATGTCAATTCAATTATTGTTCGGCATAATTTAATAAATGTCTAACACAAGTTATTAAATGACAAGGAAACATGTAGTGATTGCTTGGTCTCTTGCACAAAATAATCATTGCAACGCTACACCCCGATAAGCCGTTGACTATCCTCAGACTAGTAATTACAACACTTTCAGAGAAAATAACTAGTGAATGATTACCCCTCTATGGAGGTACTATTAATCGGCTTGATGGGATCTCGTAATATCATGTCATCACATTTGAATGTTTAATAACCCAATGAATTGGTTATAAGGTATGCAATTGAAGCCATCCTGGCACAGTAAAAAATTCTTATCGTCTCTTTGAGAACCTATTGACTTAAGAATTGGAAAGGAAACATCAGACATGTCTCTGTCCCCCTACTGACACCATTTGTTGCTACATTCCACTTGAACGTCCTCACATTGGTGACTCTATCTCAAACTACTATTGCGTAGTAAAACTCCGTGTACTTACCATAAAGTAATCATTAACTTTTATTGTGTATATATATATATATATATATCTAATATTAGAAATTGAATTTATAATTTATAAAAAACATAATAATAAAGATTGATCTAATTTTCATATATTTTGATCCAATAATATAAAAAATATTTCAAATTTTTTTCACTCAATAAAATCATTGCAGTGCTCCCGATATCAGAAAACTCAATGGACATGCTCCCCAATATCATACAATCTCATTAATCCATATATAGCTCTCTCTCTTCTCTTTGTTCTGCTTCTCTCTTATTTTTTCTTTGTTCACATTAATTTAAAATTGTGTATTTAAAAAATATATAAAAATTATTAATTATTTATATTTAGAAAGTTAAATTCTCAACTTATAAAAGCACAACGGTAAATATTTATTTAATTTTTATCTATTTTGATCTAATAGTACAAAATTCATCTCAAGTTTTATTCCCAGCTAAAAAAATTCAAATCTCTCATTTTCTCTAGATTTGGATTTAAAGTTTTCATTGGATTAGTTGTGAGTTCTATCTAATATTGGAACTCACAACTAATCCAATAATTGTATTGAAACTACATTATTGGGTCCTTAAATAATATCCTCAAATAAAGTCCCTCAAATAAACTACATTATATATATTTAGTGGTGACAAATAATTATGGCAACTAAATATTTTTACCATCATATTTTCAATGACAATAATAATTTTTTTGACACCAAACATATTCATTCATGATAATATTTGTAGCTACAATCTAAATTTAGCGGCTAAAAGTTTTTTTTTTTTTTTTTTTTGTAGTGTCAGCCAATGCATATGTACACTAGCGGAGGTAAGTGAGGACCAGGGTCACCCTCAACTATTTTAAATTATCATTATTTCATAGGTTTTAAGTATTTCTTGAGTACTTAATGGATTGTGGGGCCCATCCCGATATTTCTAACTAATACTTTCGGCTATGTTTCGGGCACATTATAAATATATTCAGATAAGTTTAGAACATATTGTATTCATTAGGTTATGTTTAAATGGATTATGGGGTTATTTTAATTTGTTGTTAAATGAAAATTCTTGTACGTTCATAAAATAACTAGGGTCAATGAAGCTTGTGACGACTTATTTTGTCTGAAGCATGATTATTTAGAACAAGAAAGTTCCAAAAACTTCAATAATAAAGTTCTTAATTTAAAGTACGAAACTAATGAGGATCAATTTTAAATGATTGTATTAAGCTTTAGTTTTTGTAAAGGGTCGTCATTTAACCTTTTTTTTTTTTGTAATTTTTTTACTTACATACACTATGTAGAGATAATGAGCTATTTTGATAGTGTCACATTGCTTGTATGTTAAAATCCATGATCTTATATACCAATGTATATTAAGGTTCTCTGAAATATCTAAATAAAAGAATCCGTCACAACAAAAGGTATTACTGAAAAGTCGTACTCGTACCTAGTACACGAACTTTCCGCATATAATGGGTTTTAAAAGGGGTAAATGGTACCTAACCTAAATTCAATTTTGGAAAGGTTGATTTCGGGCTCAAACCCCTGAGGTCTAACGACTCTTGGTCTGTGCTTGCTGATAAATCAGTTAGCCATTGTTATGAAAGGTTAGGGTAGGGGTGGACCTTGCTATATTTGCAATTGGAAAGCTCAACTTTCGATTGCAACCAAGAAATAAAGAGATTTGACTCTCAGAAATCTTCTTTCGCCTTCCCTACAGGACCATCACAAATAACATTATTAAAATTAGCGGACTAAAGATATATCCCATGGTGTAACATAATTAAGTGCAAAAATCGTAATAGGTCTTTGAACTTTATTGTTTATTTTAATTGGTCCTTGAACTTTTAATTATCCTAATTTAGTCCCTAAACTATCAATTTTATCTCACTTAAGTCAATCCGTCCATTTTTACTGTTAGATCAACGCTGAAATGGATCAAATTAGATTAGTCTCTAGTTGATCTAACAATGAAAATTGATGGAAAGACTTAATTGAGATGAAAATAAATAGTTAAAGAACTAAAATGAGACAATTAAAAGTTCGCGGAACAACTATAATTTTATCCTATAATTAAAGATGCTTATGAAAAATGTCATTCAATTTTATAACATACAAAGCAATGTGCACTAGCCAAGCTTCTCACCTCAGCATTGCAGACATAACCACAACCAGCAGATCAAAATAGCTCATTATCATTGCTAATGGAGAAGAGTGTCGGATGATTTTTTTTTGACTCGTTCAAACCTACCAAAACAAAATTCTGGTGATTGAATTCAAAAGTCATGTGAAATTGACAAATTTAACAACGTGGTCATGTCTTTTTTACTTCAAATTTCATGTACAAATTTGATTTTATTCATACAAAAAAACTTCAGTTTGTATCTCTCTTTTAATTTTTGGATACTTAATGTTGCTCTATCACTAAAATAGGTCATGGGGCAAGTCATGAAAACAATCTTGTCGCATATAGAATAACGTGACTCTCGTTGATAATGTAGTGAATTGAGGGGCGGCTCAATAGTATTAAAAAAAAGGGCAAAATTTAGTTTACTCCCTTGTGGTTTGGATATTTTGTACATGATCCCCCTATGATTTGGAAATTAGCACATTACCCCCTTATACTTTTAGACCGATATGCACAATTAACACAGTAAACAGAAGTAGTAAAATAACTTTAGTACCCTCAACTATTCATCATCTTCTTCCTCCCTCTTAACTGTAGTCTAATTTTCTGAAAAATCAATCAACCACCCAATTTTACAAGTTTTTCTCTCTCTCCACAAAGTACCAAACTTCCTCAAACCAATTCCAATATCCTCCACTCTCAACCTAGTTTTAAACCCAATGGACTCGTTTCCTTAAATAGCCCCCATAACCCAAGAATTTAAGCTCAAAGGTGATCACAAACTCATTTTGACAAGTTATGTACATAACAGATTTTTTTTAACATTTGGGCCAACTTTGGCCTTTAATTTCTCTCTCGTTTCTCAACATTTTTGGGTGATTCAAATGCCAAAATTTAACTTCTTTCTACCCTCTTTCCAACCATGTATTTAGTTTGTCCAAATCATGCACAAAGTAAGTGGAAATCGAGCTCCAAACTGACGGGTTCATCATTTTCAAAAATTATCACGATTTTTAATTTTATTTTTCACCCACCAAACCTCATTCTTTCTCGATTCTAACTTCAAAAATGGATTTCTTGACTCTAAAAATGGTGGATTAGGCCCCTCTTCACCTTCGAAACTCAAAATTTTGAATACCTAAAAATTCAAGTTTCAAGTTTAAACAAGAGTTTTAATTTTCTCTCACTATACACCTTGTTGCCTCTCTCTCTCTCTCTGACTCAGCAATGTCACTCTCCCCTCTCTCTCTTCTTCATCATCTCTCTCCATCAGCAACCCCTACTCCCCTCTCCCTGTCTCTAAGTAACAACCCCATTGCCCCTTTCTCTCACCACCCTTTTGTAACTATTGGCAACCCACCGCCAAACAGCCCTCCTAGATATATCTCCATCTCATCCTCTCCTTTCCTCCCTTTCCCTCTCCTCTCTGCTCAAACCCCCTCTTCCCAGGCTCTCCTCACTGCGACCAACGACGACATCAAAGCCACACCCCTTCCTACACATAAAGACGATCCCACCATGATTATTGAATCTCTAGCCGTTAGTTATTCCTATGGTTTGAGTGGTGAGATGAATTTCACTTGAGTTGTGCATAGTTAAGAATCATCCACTTAATTTTAATTTTTAAAATTTTGTTGTTAAAAATTTTAATAAGGAGACCGTGCTTGAAGTGAATTATTTGAGAAAAAATATGATAGTCAACAGTTCAAGAATATGAAGATTGAAGAAGGGCATTATTGTATTTTTATTGTGTCTATTTTTGGAGGGAAAAAGTTTTGTTATATCAAATCTCTTTTTAGGCGCGTGTGTGTCACAGATGGTTTAATCTAACGGAAAAACTAACGGTAGCATTTTAGTCCAAAAGCACAAGAGGATAATGTGCTGATTTCCAAATCATACGGGGGTCATGTGCAAAATACCCAAACCATAAGGGAGTAAATTGAATTTTGTCCAAAAAAAACTTGAGCTTTAGGCTCGAAATTTAAAAAAGTCTCGTAATTTTAGATACATTAGTAACTTAGAAAAAAATTAAATTCATTAAATTTTAAAACCCTAAAAAAAAAGTCCCAAAAAATAAATATAATCAAAATTTTTATTGCAATAATTTGGGTTCATGATCCATTTCATAACATTAAAAACTTAGAAATTAAAAAAAATAAAAATACTCAAAAGTCAACTCATATTTACTCTCTCTCTCCGATAAAAAAAATAAAAAAACAAAAATAAAAGTTGAAATTAATATTCTCTCTCCCTCTATGTGATAAAAAATAGAAACAAAAGTTAAAATCTCTTTCTCGACAATATTAACACATATTTTTTTTGTCTTTCTCTCACATAGAAAATTAAAAATAAATTAATTTTTTTTTAAAAATAATACTAAAAATAAAAGAATCTTCATTTAATGTTTCTTTAGCTTGAGCCGCCCATAAGTGTACCGTAACCATTTTGACACTAATATGAACCTACTTGAGTGAGTCCACCTATCTGCTGTGCTCCAAACTCCACCAGATTTTAAAGTGGAGAGGAATCATTCCCAACTTTATTTGTTTAAATAGCTCCTCTCTACTCCACGTTGATAATATTATTGTTGCAGCAGAAGTCTAACAATTACTAACATGAAGGTATGGATTCCTAGACTACTCCCTCCATTTCAATCATCTGTAAGTTCTGCTATATATTGCTAGTGGTCACAAAATTTAATTTGTATGTTGGCCTGCCTGCATTGTTCAACCATGAAACAGAAAACAGTGTTGCGCGTTTGTTTCAACTGCCGTAAGTGTAAAACAGCAGTACTAAAAGCCGTTGCAAAGCTTGAAGGTAGGGCTGTCAAATGAACAAGTTCGGTTGGATCAATACCTCTACTTGAGGAAACAAATCGTACCAATCAATTCATTCATATATAAAGAGCGAAATAATTTATTTTATCTTTGAACATATATTATATATTGCCATCAGACCTGTAATTGCTGGTTTGGAATTTTTACAGGAATAGATTCTGTAGCTGTGGATGCTGAGAAATGGACATTAACGGTGGTGGGGAATGTTGATCCTGTGAGATTAGCGGAACAAATCAGGAAGATAGGGAAGGGGGCAGAGATCATGAGTGTTGAACCCCCAAAACCTAATCCACCAGAGCCTAAGGAAAAGTCTGAGGTAGAGCTGAATCCCCTCCCTACATGTTGCAAAGAATGCCATCTTGTGGTTGTTCGCTACTTTCCCTACGAGGGTGGATTCTGCTCCATCCTTTAATTTCAAAGTGGTTTCCTATTCGCTATTACAGGGTCTGTAAAAATAAAATGTTCTGCATGCAGACGTTATTCTCATATGTCGAACCATTGATGATAAGATCACAATTGAACAGATTTTACTGTTTGGACATATTAAGGTCTATTGCTGTAACATGGAACACAGATTGAGGAGTATGGAAATTAAGTGTACTGTGTTATATTATTCTTAATTTGCATGCATTTTTTTTATCTGCTTTGAGGGGCAGCTATTGGTGTATGGAAATTAAGTGTACTGTGTTATATTATTCTCAAACTCGTTAAGAATAAATTCATACCTAATAACTTCACCACGACAACGACGTGCAAAATAGAGCAATAAAGAAGCATCTATAACACAAGTAATTGATGACGCAAAAACCTAACTCTAGAAAAACCATGAAACCACTACCTAGTTCACCTAACCTAATTCACTAACTCGAAATCGATTTACAAGTATTTGAGTCTTATACCTCAATTAATATCATGGTTAGATACTCCCAATGATACATATCCTAGTTATATGGTTAGCATTTGATTATGTTGTATGGTTAATACATAGAAGTCTCTACGCAAGACAATCATGGTGTCTTAGGTTTAAAGATCAATTGCATAACTGTAACTTATGATTTAACATTAACAAGCATGTAAAACTCCATATAAAAAATTTTATGTTAGTCAATGGTTATGTGCGGTGAACGAGCACCCACACGCCTACTTTAGTGTCCCTACACTAGTGACTTGGATGAGGTATATTACAACAAATATGAGCAAATATATTATATGCTAGTCTATTTAGATTACGTAGTGCCCACATAGAAATTTTAAGACTAGGAACCTTTTAGAGTTAAGTACTAAGAAGTCTATCAACGTCTTGACAAACTATCTTCTTAACTTATACTGTATGGACTTTATCATGTATGTTAAAATGAAATAAACTAGTAACATGATAAATAAAATTGTCTGTGTATTTAATTAAATAATAATTATTATCAATACAATCCTAATGTCATCTGTGTCATGTATCAACTTTTACCTGAGAACTTGTGGGGGGAAGCTATACTAAGCTCATGATTTATATTGAATAGAATAACTGTAAAAGAAAATGAGAAAACATCGTATGAAATCTGGAAGAAAAAAGTTCCAAATCTTTGTATCATGAAAGTGTGGGGGTGTTTAGCTAAGGTAGCCATACCTTAATCAAAAAGAAAAAAAATTGAATCTAAGACTGTAGACACTATCTTTATAGAATATGGTTAAAATACTAGTGCCAATAGATTCATAGTTATTGATTCTTAAATAAATGAAATATCTAATAATATAATCATAGAGTCAAGAGATGCTACATTTTTTGAAGATATATTTCCTTTTAGAAGCAAGATACCAACCCAAGTGAAACAAACACCTTTGACCAATGATGAATCTTCTACTAGCAATAATGATCTTTTAAGGAAAGACAGAGAAATACCAGTAGAGTTAAAAAAAAGTAAAAGGCCAAAAATAGAAAAGAATTTAGGAGATGATTTTTTCACCTTTCTAGTAGAAAGTGAGTCTACATCTTACAAAGAAGCTATGTACTCTTTAGAAGCTCTTTTTTGGAAGCAGACTATTAATAGTGAGATTGAATCAATCTTACAAAACAACACTTGGGAGATAGTAGAGTTGCCTCCTGGAAGCAAGGAATAGGATGTAAATGGGTGTCCAAGAAAAAATTAAAACTTGATGGAAGTATAGATAAATACAAAGCTAGATTGATAGCCAAAGGATTTACACAGAAGAAAGGAATAGACTATTTTGATACATATTCACTAGTGTCTAGTATTACTACCATCAGAATTTTAATTGTCTTAGCCTCTATCCATAATTTAGTAATACATCAAATGGATGTCAAAACTGATTTTCTAAATGGAGACTTAGATGAAGAAATATATATGGACCAACACGAGGGCTTTATAGTAAAAGAACAAGAACATAAGGTATGCAAGTTGGTAAAATCTTTATACGGTTTGAAATAAGCACCTAAACAGTGGCATGAGAAGTTTAATAAGGTAATCCTAGAATATGATTTTCGAATAAATGAAAGTGAAAAATTTTTATATTATAAGGAAAAAATTGGAAGTTGTGTAATCTTATGTCTTTATGTGGATAATATTCTAATTTTTGGGACTAATTTAGAAATAGTTAAAGAAGTTAAATCTTACTTATCTAAGAAGTTTGATATAAAAGACTTGGGAGAAGCCAAGGTAATCTTGGGCATGGAAATAGAGAAATTAGGAAGTGGAATATCTCTTAGTCAATCTAACACCATAGAGAAAATGTTGAAGAAATTTAAGTTTTAAGACAGTGAACCAGTATCGATGTCATATGACCCTCATATACATTTAAAGAAAAATAAAGGAGATCCTATATCAAAATTGAAGTACTCACAAATGATAGGATCTTTATTATACTTAGCTAATAAGTCTAGAGCAGATATGTCTTATGTTGTGGGTAGACTAAGCCGATATACACAAAATCCTAGTAAAGAGCATTGGACTGCCTTAGAAAGGGTATTTAAATATCTTAGAGGAACTCTAGATTACTCTTTACATTATAAAGGATTTTCAAGCGTCGTTGAGGGTTTTATTAATGCAAATTGGATCACCGATAGTTTAGATATAAAATCCACTACTGGTTATATTTTCTTGTTAGGTGGGGCAGCCATATCTTGGGGATCTAAAAAACAAACTATAATTTCTAGAGGTACAATGGAGGAAGAGCTTATAGCCTTAGATACCACCTGTACCGAGGATGAGTGGATTAAAAGCTTATTACTAGATATACCTCTATTGAATAAGCCTATACTTGCTACATCTTTGCATTGTGATAATAAAGTTGTGATTAAGCTTATAAAGCAAACTCATACTAATAAAAAGATGAGCAGACATATGCAAGTAAGATATAAATCTGTGAAGAAAATGTTAAGTAGAAACATAATTTTACTAGACTTTGTGAAGTCAGAATTGAATATTGCAGATCAACTAACAAAAGGACTTTCAAAAAAAGTCGTCTTAGACCTGTCGAGGGGAATGAGTCTAAGCTCACAAGGAAGTCACTTAGGAAGGTAACCTAACTTCTGTGATTGGGAACCTCATGAAAGAAGTTCAATGGGTAAAAACAATTCGTATTGCGTGACTTATTTAGCACTTAAATTTGGAGATATCCTAGGAGGAGATATTCTCTTACTCATTCCTATGGCAGAAGTGCATTTGAAGTGTGACATAAAGGAAGAGTTGTTATCCTGAATGAGATCGATGCAAGAACACTCTTGCAGGGTAGGAGTCACATATGCCCTTGGAGGTTTCACCTAAATGAGATTCGTCGTGAGACCGCGACTATAAGAATTAGGTTGTTCTTTAGAAACTCTCATGAGAATCAAGATCGAGTGCATGACCTTTAATAGCACTAACCCGCGAATCATGACTAATATTGGTACTGTGTGTGTAACATGTTGAACTCTGACTCAAAGAGTCTAGTTCAAGTCTTTGATCACTATGATCTTTCAAAGGAAAACAATCAACACTAAGTGAAGTTCAAGTCTAAAAGACATCTATACCTATTGCATAGTATTATAATTGCCCAAATTATATTTGGTTTTTAAAAGAAAAAACTTGTGGGGATTGTTAGAATAAATTAAGTTTTTTCTTTAAAAAAAAATGGTTCCATCTTTCATCTTTTCCCTAAGAGGTATTTAAAATATTTTGAATTATTATATATTATATAAATGTATAAGATATGACAGTTGGTAGAGTTGAAACTTGAATTTTAATTAGGTTGTTTTTTTTAAGACGTTATACTTGGAGTCCAACCGTTGCACTGCAACGGCACTTTACCATTGTTTTGTGCAAAGATACCTTTTCCCACTGGGCATGACTTATGACAAATTCTTTGAGTATTGACATATATGAAAATCTCCCAGCAACTTAAAGAAAAACCCTTTGTTTCATTTGGTCTTCGTACAAGAACAATCGGCAGAAATTTAAGTCTCATTTTACGTTGGTTGTTCACGAAGGACTTTGTTCTTTTCTGCATTCCTAAGTATTCTGATCATACTAAATTTTGGGCAACTCGATTAGAGTCTGATTCATCTTCACTCTTCTGTGTACATGAACCCTGAGGAGTTCTTGCTTTTGAATTTGGATTGTATCTTGGAGCCACTGTAGTCCGCTAATACCTTCACGTAGGAAAGCTTAGTCACTTTAGGACAACATTTCAACGTGTCTCACAGACCCTCAAAGGCTAGATTTTTCTAATTTATTTTTCTTTGTTTTATATTGTGTTCAGTTGCATTTGTTTAATTATTAGTTTTAATTTGATACATGTGTCAATCGTTATATTATATGTATCCACAATATATGAATTGCTATTGTCAAGATTAGTCGGTGATCACTTTGACTATTTTATTCTATACATTCACTTTGGCTTTCTGTTCTTTACACATGCTACTAATAAATGGATGGTCCAACTCAAGATCTCACTAACCATAGTTGATTATTTGAAGGACTATGTTTGATCTTGGTAGAGGTGAGGGATTTTGGTAGGGAAAGCAAGGGTTCTTCTCTAGATTTGTTCTCTCAAAATTTGGCTGTCTAGCAACCTTATTATTTCTCACTTGGTCAAAAAATAACCATCCCCTATTTATAAGCAGCAAAATAGACTTAACCTGGATACCAAGAAAATCAGGTTTTGCGAAGGAGTGGTCGAGCGAGCTTGCCCTTAAATAGCGCTGAATATTGGAATGAAATCTGGCCATCCTGACCAGGAGCCCTCGAACACTCAGCAAGCGTTGGTCACTGGAATTTGTTTTCCGGCCCAATGCACTCCAAAACAGATCGAGCTCTCACAGAACTTTGAACACTGGTTTTAGGACCTAAACCAATGGTCAAAACCAAACTCAAGAGTACCAAAGGGTGATACTCATCAAGGCTCCAGACCATGACTTTTTGTTTATTTTCAAAATAGCCCTCAAAGTTTCCTAAACATTTTTCTTACTCAAAAATGAAATTCATAGAAAGGATCAAACACTAAGTCTCATTTTAAACAATTTACCTAAGTTAACCAATTAGGACAACTAGGTCTCTAAGTCTTTTAACTTTACCAAAGCTTGATGACTTCTAAGGATTCTTTAATGAAGTTTGATCATCTTCTTCCATCTTGCTTGGATCTTCAACAAGAAAGTATCTTGGACCATGGATTAACATGAGCTATAATTTACATGTGACTCACGGAATTTGCCAATTACATCAATTTCCTAACATATTTAATTAGGAATATTTTGATTAATTTGAAATGATTAGTTACCAAAATCATGTCAACTTACTTAAACTTAAAAGATTGCAACTTTCATTGTTAGTAATTTTCATAGAGTCAAGGCTTGAATTTTGCTTATGGAGCTTTTAGGATTTTGAACGTTCTAATAAAATGTTCTAATGTATGAGCATTAGTATTTATTCAATAATACCAAATTGAATTCAAACCCGTGTTAATATCCTACATATAAAGAAATACTGATTTATTTATGTCTAGTATCATAGGACTCATAACCCTAACCATGCTCAAGAAAAAACAAAGAGCTAACTGTCAAAGTTGTCTGAGATACACTTAGTTGAGGTCACGTAAACTACAAATTAGAGGTACAACTCGGACGGGTTGAGCAAGTTGAGAATTCAACTTTGGCCCAACCCAAGATATGAAACTTTTAATCCGAGCTCAATGCAATTCGAACCAACTCGAACAACTTCAACCCAAGTCTAACCCATGATTAAATTTTTAAACTTAGGCTGAGCTCGAGTATGCATAATTTGGGTTGTAATTGGGGTTGGAATCGGACTTCTTATTAATTAAAATTAAATTAAAACAAAAAATATGATATAGTTTTGTCTTCTGCCATAAAATTAAATCTAAATTCTATAAATTTTTCATTAGTCAAACCTAAAGTAGAAAAAAGAAAGAACAAATTTCATTCAAACATCATTAGCAATAAAAGAAGGATGTGAGGCAGATGCACTAATATCCTTTTCATATTTGTGTGTATAATTTTCCTTTCTTAAAAATAAATTTTGAATTGAATCTAATTTCATAAATTCGGCTCGGGTCTAGGTTGAACTAGTTAACCTGAACCCCCAACCCGAGTATTATCCAAATTCAATTCAGGTTAAATTTTTTTTAATCAAGTCCAACCCAAATATTAAAAACTTCAACCAAATATTAAAAAGTTCGAGTTGAGATTAGGTTAGCTTCCCAACTTGCATACCTACTATGGTTGTCCCAAAACATCAAAGGACTAACACTAACCATTCAGCAATGCGCAGGGCCGTTTAGTATTTTTTTTTTTCTATTTAGGATTGGATTGGTTTTGTAAGACCAATCCACACTCATACAATTGGGTTTACGAGATAGGTTTCGATAAAAATATGATTTATCTTTATTCTCTCTCATAGTTTGAGAATGATTGAATAGGAGTAAAAGAAATATATGGGTCTGGTAATTTGCCTTCAAATCATATATCACTTCTGATAATATTATCTTTCATACAATGAAGTGTTCAATTTGACAGAAGGGCAGATTAATAAGTTTAATTTTAATTGAAATCCACCAATTTAAATATCATCTCCTAGGTGAGTGAGACAACGGAACACAGTAAAAATATGATCAACGTCAATATTCAACAAAAAAAAAAATTGGCGCGCTAAAGTTAAGAACCCTCTCTCAATACTAATATAAAAAGAAAACTTAGTCAAGAAGGAAATTAGCCCTAAAATTAAGACAAAATAATAGTAAAAATAAAATAATTTCCAATTCTAATCCTGAATCATTTTCAAAATAACAAATAAACCTATCAATTAAATTTAGAGGCATGGTACATAATATTTGTTCTAGTCAAATAAGTGCATTTGATATCAACATAGTGTCTTATCCAAGAATTAATTAAATCAAGATGACATTAAGTTTAAGCATTTTGAGTCATCTTTTTCTTTTATGATATAACGCTGTAATCATATTTTCTCAAACAATTAAGGGTCGTTTGGTTACAACTTTAAAGGGTAAATTACAAATTCGTAAAAGATTAAGACTCTCTAATCCAATCCTATATAACATTTGGTTGTAAAAAATACTATATATTATATATAGTCTTATTTCAAATTATTATCCAAGTAATATACTACTTATCCAAATAATACATTGTATCCATACTATTAAGCACATTATAATACCACCTAAGGGGAGTGGTATCATAGTCCAATTAAAGCGTATTAAGTTGTAAATTTAGTATTTTATCCAATACATAAACAAAAACATTAATAACTATACAAGATTGATAATTTTTTAGCTAATATATAATTGTTACTCTACTATTTCATTCTTAATCTAATGTCTTACCAAACACTGAATTACAATACTTAATATTTTTATCTCGTATTTAATCATATATTTTATCTACCTATACATAATTAATATATTTTAACTAATATAATTCATTTTTTTTTAACAATACGAGAGTCAGAGAAGTCCTAACTACATTTGACATCATGATAGGACAAATACCAAGGCATAGGGGTGCAGCAGCAGGCGCTCTACAACACCAAGTTCATGCCTGTTGAGGTTCAAAGGCTTCTCTGTCTCAAAGTTGTGGCAACTTGAAGCTCCTATATGCTAATGACTCAGTCTGATCTTTTGATCAACATCACATGGTGGTAATGTTTTCACAAATATCACTGGTAGGTGTGGCAATTTTTGACACGATATGAAAAATACGATTCTAAATTAATATGAAATTAGCGGGTTAAGGTTGATGATACATGGGAAGGTTTTTGACTAAGTATGAACTCGGGAATGGAGGTTAGACAAGGAGGTCAGTTAAGGAACCCTGAGATCAGAGGCCCAGACCTCGAGCCCCCCTTCGGATGAAAGACTAAAAGAGATGAGAGGAACAGCTAACTAGCAGAAGGCATCTCTAACATAATGGAAGATAGTGATTAAGGCGCGAGACTCTCAACCACCCAAGATCCTCTCCTCGAAATTAAGGAAAATCCAACACGTGAATGGTAGGGATCTGCTGCAGATCCCTTACAAATGGGAATTAAACAATAAATGTTGGGCAGTGCCTCCATCTTGAGAGAGATCCTCAAATATATGAAAAACACTTTGTAACTTATACCAGCCATTAATATAGATCTAAGGAGTAAGGAATTCCCTTTGAGAGTGGATTAGCCGAAATTTTGAGTTCAGTGACCCACTATACTTGCGCTGAAACCATCCCAATTTCTCAAGCATCTTACCATAATCCTCACGAGCCTTGTAACTCAAATTCAAACTCGCTTATGTGATTCGTATTTTCTATTCATTTGCCTAATTACACCATAAGTTATTTGGTAAATAAATTTAATAATTTTTTTTGGATAAATGTGAGGAATTTTCAAGTATGTATTGGCATAGACAAGGAATGGAGGGTACATCGGGTGGACTAAATGCAGTTTTCATACACCAAAGCCAAGCTGTTCCGATCTATACACTCTTTACCTCTCCAAACCTCATTTCACAATCAATTAACCATAACCAACAAAAGAGCAGCAGAACAGAACTGCTTAACTCTCCTCCAACTCTGTGACTCTCTCCCCAAACTGACCCAACTCCATGCTCACATTTTCAAGCTGGGTCTCCGAAACAACCCACTAGTTCTCACCAAGTTCGCCTCCACGTCTTCAGACCTCAACGCTATTGACTACGCTTCAACTTTCCTATTCGCGGCAGACGCAAAAACTCATCTTTATGACTCCTTCCTTTTCAACACTGTCATTAGAGCTTATACTCAACCCCGTGATTCCAAGCACAATGGTATATATTATTATAAACTTATGCTTGAATATGGTGTTTTGGCTAATAAATTTACGTACCCATTTGTTCTTAAAGCCTGTGCTGGTCTTGGGGACTTGAGTTTGGGTAAAACAGTACATGGTTGTGTGTTGAAAGTTGGGTTTGATGATGATGTTCATGTTTTGAATACCATGGTTCATATGTATGGTTGTTGCTGTGGGGGGATTGAGTTTGGTAGGAAAGTGTTTGATGAAATGCCTAAGTCAGACCCTGTGTCATGGAGTGCGATAATAGGTGGGTATGCCCGGCTGGGTATGTCGATTGAGGCTGTTGGATTGTTTAGGAAAATGCAAATTTCTGGTGTTAGGCCGGATGAGATTACTATGGTTTCGGTTTTGTCTGCGTGTACTGATTTGGGTGCACTTGAGCTTGGGAAATGGGTGGAGTCTTATGTTGAGAGGGAAAATGTTGTAAATAGTGTGGAGCTTTGTAACGCACTAATTGACATGTTTGCAAAGTGTGGTGATGTTGACAAAGCTCTGAGGCTGTTTAGGAACATGACTGAGAGGTCAATTGTCTCTTGGACTTCTGTGATTGTTGGTATGGCAATGCATGGTCGTGGGCCAGAGGCTTTTTCATTGTTTGAGGAGATGAAAGGAGCTGGAGTGGTGCCTGATGATGTTGCCTTTATCGGGTTGCTCAACGCTTGTAGTCATTCTGGGCTAGTTGAGGAAGGCCAGCAACATTTTTATTCAATGACAAAGGATTTTGGGATTGTACCTAAGATAGAGCATTATGGATGCATGGTGGATCTGTTAAGCAGGGCTGGACTTGTCAAAGAGGCACTAGAGTTTGTTCAGAAAATGCCCATTCAACCAAACCCCATAATTTGGAGAACCCTGATAACTGCTTGCCGTGCCCATGGTGAGCTCAATCTTGGTGAAAGCATCACAAAAGAACTGATCAGAAATGAACCCATGCATGAGTCTAATTATGTGTTACTTTCCAATATCTATGCAAAACAGTTCCGCTGGGAAAGGAAAACCAAGATTAGAGAGGTGATGGAGAAGAAGGGAATGAGAAAGATCCCGGGGAGCACTATGATTGAGCTTGATAATGAAATATATGAATTTGTGGCCGGAGATAAAAGTCATAGTCAGTACAAAGATATTTACGAGATGTTGGATGAGATGGGAAGGAAATTGAAAAGGGCTGGATATGTTCCTACTACCTCAGAGGTGTTACTTGATATTGATGAACAAGATAAGGAGGATGCTTTGAACAGGCATAGTGAAAAGCTAGCTATTGCGTTTGCCCTTTTGAAGACACCACCGGGAACTCCTATAAGGATTGTGAAGAATTTGAGGGTGTGTGGCGATTGTCATTCTGCTACCAAGTTCATCTCTAAGATTTATAATCGAGAAATTGTGGTGAGGGACAGAAACCGTTTTCACCACTTCAGAGATGGGCTCTGCTCATGTAAAGACTTCTGGTAGCAGAAAACCCATGATTTATGATAAATCATCATTAATGGGAAACCATTTTTCTTATTAACCAGTGGTATTTACAAGCCATGAAGAGCGAGTTATAGGTGGAGTACAGTCCCGGATTGTGATCATTCTGAGGGAACAGTAAATGTCGCTGTCCTGAAGTTCAGCAAGGTATTTTGATCTTCCCTCCAATAAGTAGATGATTTTAATCGAAATCCAGCCTGACTTTCTAAAGTTCAGCAGCTGAGATATCATCTTTCAGGAGAAATATTAAAACCAAGAAACAAATAGAATGTACATCTCAAGTTGGATATTGTTGATCTGAATCTATCTTGATATAATTCTCTCTCTCAACAGACATGGTCTAGGCAGGAAAATAGCGTATAATGTTGGTCAGGTAATGCTTACAAACGCGAGGTGTTTCTTACAGCGAGTGTTGGCTTGTAGTGACACGTGATATGTTGGGCTTTTGTGGAGTCTAGGTTTTTGTATTGATCCGGATGATGATCCGATTCGAATTAATTTTACGTGTTTTTTTTTTGGCCCGCTTTGTAGCCCGATGTTGGACATATAAAACCTGTTGTTTTGGGTAATTAGAATTTGATTGATTCTGTACGGCTACTTTGTATTTCTTCTTAATAATAGTGAAATCAGCGAAATTCCTGCAGCTTCGTGGATGTAGGCAAATTGCCGAACCACATAAATACTGTCTTGTGTGTGTGATTGTTTTTTTTTTGCATGTGTTTTTTCTATTTTTGTTTCTCACAAATTTGAGAATTTCGTATGAATTTCCTAACATGATAAACACCAACTGCTATGGAATCTATGTAAATTTGCAAACCATATATTTGGTGTAATGAGTTCATTTTCGTTGGTGTTTTTTCCCTTTTTTTTTTTTTTTTTTTTTGGGGGGGGGGGGGGGGGGGGG